CAAGATTCCCCTTAAAACAAAAATCGCTAATTTAATAAGAAAATCGTAGACATCTGACCAAAAATCCTGGTTTTTTGTAAGAAAATTTTTTTATATAAATATATCAATATTTATCTATAAAATATTTGTTATATTTACCCTTCTTTATCTGGAGTTAAATCATAGAGCAAAAAAATGGTCCACATAATAAATAAATTTGTTTCTATTGCACCACTGTATTCCCATAATACAACCAAAGAAAAAAATAAAAACACAAAAAATAAAATAAACTCAAATACCCAACATCTGTTGAGCTGCCTGCCTAATGGTGGTCGACAACCCCACATTTTGTAGGTTTGCATATTCTTTGATTTGTTTTTAAATCCATCGGATTTTGGCAAAAGGATTGAATTGTAATGGTTGGGCATTTTTTTTTTTTTTGCTGTTTAGTTTCTCTGTAGTCAGCATTCGTAGCTACATTATTGCAATGATTACAACACTTCGCATGAGATTTATTTATGTTAGCCATTTTCCCCATGGGATACGGTTGGCTGAAACTGTGTTTTTTCATCATCATCTCCTTTCTGGATCCATGTAATTTATGTGCCCGGGTTAGCCAATTTATTTCCCTCCATAATATTTGTCTTAAATCATCATAATCAAATGCTTTATTCCGTAGAGTTTTATTTGCATCGAATCAAGAATGAGAAATCAAAATATTCATAATTGGCCTATGCCTAGGTCAGCAGTTCGTGTCGGGAGAGAGTGGGGTTTTTTTTTTGGACTCACGCTTGAGCGGATTTTTATTTTTCTTTTGATTCATCGGTGGGATTTTGCAAAGAATGTTCCTGCATTACGTGAAGAATAATTGCGAATTTTATGATGATGATTTAGATAGCAATCTTATGAATCAAAGTTGATTTTTAAGCAATAATTCTTAGTGACTGGATATAATTGGGTAGCAAAATAGGCATTATATTATTCTGTTGGGCAAATTAAAAAAAAATAATATGTAGATCTAGCCGTTTCTCTCCTTGCTGATATATGATAAATGCAAATGAGCCAACTGGGACTTCCTGGCCAGAAGTCGTAGATTTGTATAAGAAATTCTTTTGAGACACTTTCCGACCAGAAATCCTAGATTTATAAATATGTATTTGTTTATGGACTCTCGATGAAAAATCGTATTTTTTTGAAACTTTATACCGCCTCCTGTCCAAAATTTTGGATATTTTTCTAAAAATTGTTTAAGTTTCTGTTAGGCAAACGTTGGTTGGGTGTTTTTAAGAAACTTTTTACAAGGTCTATGCAAAATTGAGAAGTTTCTTTCACCGCTCACAAAAAGCTTAGAATTTATTGAGAACATTTGTGCAAAAACATCCTGGGCTTTATTCATGGGTTTTAAAGAGAAGATTTGTTCATGACCAGAAATCGTAGATTTTTAAACAAACAATTGTTCAATCATGAATGAATTTTAATAACAATATTTGTAATTTCTACGTAGATGTTTAAACAAACAATTGTGCAATCATCTCCTGCCTTAAAATTGGCGAATTTTAAAAAGAATATTTGTAATTTCTACTTTTACAATAATTATGTTCGGGGAACTCCTGACCCGAAATCGTGGATTTTTATAAGGTTTTTATTACTATTTCTTGACTAGATAACCTGCCTTTATAAAATATAATATATGTATATAATATTCATGGATTCCTCGATTTTTATTAGAACAAGTTAAAAAGTATCAGTCGGTTTTTCCGAAAGATGTATACCTTTGGCATATGTTCGATTATTTTAATATATTTTGACTTCTGTTCCTAATCATATATAAACATTGTGACGTGCCAGGTTTAGACTTTATTGGTTACTTCCTTCAATTTATATAAGATATGTGGTAATTATTAGAAAATCGACCGAAGTATTCGATTTTCATACTTCATCTAAAACAGACAAAATGTTGGTATGAGCTAAATTATAAGAAAATCGGATATGTATATCCAATTTTATGCGAAACCATAAAATCCATATTCATTTCAGGTTTCTGGTTGAGAGAAGTATTATATATAGAAAGTTGTAAAGAATAGCTGACTTGTTTCTCAAATTATGGCAGACAAAAATATTGAAAATTGTGATTATTTGTGGGTGAGGTACCAGAAGGGGTTCGCAAACTGTGTGGTTGTGTGAAATTTGAAGAGAGTCAGTTGTTCATACCGAATTTTATGAGCGTTTTGTTTTTCATAATTTTGAACCATTTGTGGGGGAGGTACCAGAGATCCATGGTCCGATATCTACCGTCATTATAACAAATCTTGCGTTGATGGAAATATTTAGATGTACCAAATCAGAATGGAATCGGATATTAATTTCGCGTTATATGAGTTTCATGGATATTCAAAATTGTGATTATTTGTGGGTGAGGTACCAGAAGGGGTTCGCAGATATATATATCATCTTCACAACAGATATTGTATTATCAGAAATGTTCGTATGTGTGAAATATGTAGAGGATTGGATGCTTCTTTTGCTTTTTTTCAAAATTTGAACCCTATATTGGGGAGGTACCAGAAGAAATGGTACGATTTATATAACAGATCTTGTGTTAATGGAAATATTGAGTTTAAGAGAGCGTTCATGGATATTCAAAATGTTGACTCTTTGTGGAGAAGGTACCAGACGGAGTGGACGAAGGAGTCCACTGGAAGGAGTCACAACAGACCTTAGGTTAATGAAAATATTTTGATGGGTGTAATTTGAAGACAATCGGACTCTTACACCACATTATACGAGCTATATTATTCAAAATGTTTACCCCTTGTGTGAGTGCATCGTTATTATCCATTTTCTCAGCTGATATAGCACTGATGCGATATTTTCAAAGTTGGAGCAAAATCGGATTCTCTGCAGTAAAATATTTTTTTTAAAAATTCGAGACTTTTGTGGGGGAGGTACCAGGAGGGGTGAACAGATATTGTCCATTTTCTCGCCTGATCTAGCTCTGATGCAAATGTTAGGATTTGCAAAGTTGGATCAACATCGGATTAAAATTTGGCCAGAATGATTGCTCATCTCTGTACTCGATCTAAGTTGGATAATAATATTACGATGTACCAAGTTTGGACCAAATCGGATACTCTCTTCGACAATTATCGTGGGCAACAACCAAACAGACAGACAAAAGCACGGACGGACATCGCTGCTTCGAATCCACATGTCCTGAAACGGATTTGGTACAAAGAGACTTAAGGTCTAAAACAGATATTTTGGCAGTGTCAAATAATATATTTACCATATAAATGCATGAAAATGATCAGGAATTCCATCCAAATTGATTTTGGCTGATGATGGCAATTTCCACCACGGTGAGTACGTCAACAAGAACGATTGTCGCATCTTGGCTGGCGGGGTTATTGGACCTTACATGTTGGGGCTGGATCCACATTTACAGATGGTATTTATGTGGGCTACTTTATTTTCAACAAAACGAAGCTACATACCACAAAAGCAATGAAACTATTCCTATTATACGGGAAAAGTTTAACATCTCGAAGAGGTGATCACAAGTTCCCACCCGAGATCTCGTGATTTAACAGCTTTTCCTTTAGACACACATGAAAGATAAGGTCAATATTAACGGCCGATTCCCATAGATGAAATTCATGAGGCAATCGAGGACATAGTGAGCAATTTTGATATTTGGCTGTGGAAAAATATCATTAAAAGGATATGGTTTTGTAAGCGTATTCGTGGTATAAAATAACCTCCGAACCTTTTCTTCGAATACTAAAAATTCTTAACAAAACGTTGTAGAGTCTTTCCGGAATAATTTCAGTTGTATGTAAATGTGAGATTTTGATTTGAGGTCATCATTTACATTAAATAGAAGTAAACTTTATTGGAGCTGTGTCTAAATCTAAGGAGAAACAAGTAAAAAAAATAAGTTCGGCCAGGCCGAACTTTTAATACCCTCCACCTTAGGGAACATTACAACCAATTGAAACATTAGAACCAATTATGACCCACTAATACCAAATTTTAGACACATTCGTAGGAAAATATGGCAAAAATCATCAAAATACGGAATATCGGGAGGTACCGCTATATAGGGCTATACAAAAACGAGGACCTATACATACAATGTTTTGCCACACGAACAACAAATACCAATTTTTAGACAAATCAATGAAAAAATGTGGCAAAAATCGTCAAAATACCGAATATCGGGAGGTACGGTTATATGGGGGCTATATCAAATCATGAACCCATGCATGCAATGTTTCGCCACCGAAGCTGGAACCCATTATGACCAACAAATACCAATTTTTAGACAAATCCGTGAAAAAATGTGGCAAAAAAAAACTAAAATACCGAATATCGGGAGGTACCTTTATATGGGGGCTATACCACAACGTGGACCTATACATGCAATGTTTTGCCACACGCTCAGGGACCCGTTATGCCCTACAAATACCAATTTCCAGACAAATCTGTGAAAAAATGTGGCATAAATCATCAAAATATCGAATATCGGGAGGTACCGTTTTATGGGGACTATACCAGAACGTGGACCGATATATCTCATTTTCAATACCAACAATCCTAGACACAATGCAAATAGCTCTGCTAAATTTTGGCGCTCTACGTCAAATAATGTGGGCTGTATCGTGATTTCAACAGACAGACATCGTTAAATCAACTTAGAATTTTATGCTGATTATGAATATATATACTTTATGGGGTCTAAGACGAATATTTAAGGATGTTACAAACGGAATGACAAAGTTAATATACCCTCCTTTCCAAGTTGGAGAGTATAATAAATAATTCTCCCCATCAATATATTTCTTACCTCTGATGAATATGAATGTTAAATAAAAAGTGAATTAATTTAAGGCATTTCCTTTATAAGAATGAATGCATGAATGAATGAATGTTGTGTCAGTCACCCACATACCTTTATGCCAATACACATACTCATAAAAAAATATTTACTTTTCTCTTCCTCTCTCTTTCCACCCGCGCAGTTTACGTTTCTTGGCCAAGAAATCTTTAATGATAACGAATGTAGGTCGTCGAGATCGTGGCGTCTATCAGTGTCTGGTTGAAAATCAAAAGTCGAGTGCCCAGGCAATGGCCGAATTAAAATTGGGCGGTAAGTGTTTAATGGAATTCTTCCGTCTGGTTGAATTCTGTAACTCCCCTGTTAAGTTACTGCAGGATGTCGTATTATGTATGTTTGTCGCATTGTAAGTCATACGTTTGTGTGTTTTTTCGTTTCATTTTATAGATACAGTGCCAGAATTGATTTATACGTTCATTGAACAGAATGTACGACCCGGACCATTAATATCGCTTAAGTGTTCAGCCAGTGGTTCGCCGCCACCACAAGTAAGTTAATAATGCAGAAATAACGAGTATCGAAAAAAGGGTGAAGAGAATTGTGCAGAGTTTTCACTTTTTTGCTATTGTTTACCTATAAAATTTGAATCAATAACATCATAGCTATGTAGAATGGCAAGATTTGAAAATGAAACGATCTCATTCATATCATAAATTAAGTAATAATTTAAATTCGAATTCTGCTTTAAATTTCAAATATGATTATTAAAATATTTTTACGAAGTATCTTCTGGATTTTGTGCTTGAAATCTACTGCAATAATGGAATTTAAATTATTCTCTAATTTATTACACCTTTTGCTATCGTCATTTATATATCTTCCAGATGGTCATAACTTTTTCTGTTGCTTTTATCGTCTTTTCCTACAGTTCTCCTGGCTGCTGGATTCACAGCCAATTATGGATGTTTCTCTGCATCATCGCTTTGCCATTGGCCAATTTGTCGATATGTCTGGCGATGTGATAAGTCATTTGAATATTTCACATGTACGACCGGACGATGGTGGCCTTTACAAATGCATAGCCACCAATACAATGGGCAGTGTGGAGCATTCGGCACGTCTTAATGTTTATGGTAAGTGTGGTCATAACTCTTTTTATGGTAGATTTATTATTGTTGGTTTTATAAAAAATGAAAAAATATGTGGCTATGATAAACACAAAGATGAAAGTTATGTAAAAATGAAATTAGGTTCAGTCAATCCAAATCTTTAATAAAACTCAATACATTTTTTTTCGGATCCTACACCACATAGTTGTAAGGGTATTATGTCTTTGTGCATGTATTTATAACATGGAGAAGGAGGCGAGAGGAGCTTCATAGAATCACTATCTGAGTAGATTTATGCATGTCAGTCAGTCCGTCCGTCTGCCCATGTATATTTGTGAACAAAATGCAAATCGCATTTATTATCCGATTGAGATGGAATTTTCCAAATAATATTTGTTTGGGATCGGTTCAAATTTAGATATAGGTCTCATATATATATATTGAAAATATTTCGGGTTAATTGTGTACCAAATGGCCAATATCAGTCCAAATGATCCGTATTTTAGCACATCCGACCGAATTTAGTCTAGAAGCAAGTACATGAAATTTGGGGTTTAAGTCCCGATTTTAGAAAATATCAGTCCAAATGACTTGAATTTTTGAATATTCGACCGAATTCAGTCTAGAAGCAAGTACTTAAGATTTATAGCTCACAATAAATTTAGGGTTCACAACAAGGGTCTTTGGTACCAGATATCAGATATAGATTAGAAATAAGGTTCTAAAATTTTGTCAATTTGTATATAGCTCCCATATATGAAGGGCTCACAGCTATACCGAACTAAGTCATAAAAACATAATTCGAAGATATTTAGAGGTAAAGTAAATGCACTGCCATTAATTTCTAGAAGGAATATTTTAGTCTACCAAAAGAAAATCTAAAAGTCTATATTCAAAATTAACTAATGATATTAATTTAAAATAAAAATAATTTAAATATATAACTAAAAAAATATTCAAAAATAAAAAAATCTACTTTGGTTCATTATTACTCGGAATAAAATTTCATGGTTTTACAGCTAAAGCGAACCAAGTCAAAAAAATTAAATAAAATGTTCGTTATATGACTAAATATAGTTAACTTAAGCGATTAATTTTCCACTAGTTTCGGAGTTTTATTTTAAGTCATGTCTTGGTTTGGCGGCTGGCAGCTGCGGGTGCTTCTATTGTAATTGACAATCATTGTGATATTTAGGAAAATAAAATAAATTCATTTTTTTTTTAATAAATTAATGTTAACAGGGATAAAGGAAAATTTAAGGTTTCAACTATGGTAGAAATAAGAAGGTAAAGTCATGCAATTATATGTTTACATTTTTATACCCTTCACCATAGTATGGAGGGTATATTGAATTTGTAATTCCGTTTGCAACACCTCGAAATATACATTTTAGAACCCATAATATATTCTTGATCAACATAAAATTCTATGTCGATTTAGCGAGGTAAGTCCGGCTGTCCATCTGTTCGTCTGTGGAAATCACTCTAGCACCCGAACGAAATGAAGTAAGTTGATAAAATTTACTCAAGTGTTTATTATGTCTGCAGGACTTTTGGTATTGAAAATGGGCCATGTAGGTCCACGACTTCGTATAGCCCAAATATAACGGTACCTCCCGATATGCGGTACTATTACCGGAACTATTTCAAATTTAGTATTTGAAGTTCGTAATGAATACTACAGCCTATGATTGCAAATTGTCTGTGCAGGTCCACGTCTTCGTATAGCCCCTAATATACGGTATTTTTTTTTACATTCGGTATTTTTAAGATTTTAACAGAATTTTTAATGGATTTTAATTTTTTGAAAATTGCCAAATTTGTACCAAATGGTGGAAGGTATTCAAAGCTCGGCCCGGCCTTACTTACAGCTTTTTTACTTTTTTTTTCAAAGTTATGCATTTGACAACATCTCATTGTCGAAATGTATATTTATAAATCCATTGTACGTACAAATCAGAGATGGGAACCTGCTTTCTAGGCGGGGAAATTTGACAGAGTAAATTACACAGAATGCAGAGATGGATATGCTTATTTGAAATGTCTTTACCTTCTTAATTTTACCATGGTTTCAACAAATATTTACACATAAAAAATTCGTCATTTCCGTCTTCATCATTTTTGGGGCTGGCAAATATTCCTCATCTTCATTGCTGGAAAAATCACAAGCACTGCTATTATTACTATCCATTTATAGAAAACACTGATTTTTTTTTTTAATATTGCTGAAAACTGAACGACAATAAACACGTGCTCACTAATAGTACTGATTCAAAGTGAAACACACTGACTTGGTTCATTTTTGCTTTGAAAAAAGTCGAAAATGACAGTCGTTGACTTAGGTTTTTTACCGTCATCTTTGGAACGAAACACTTTTTGACATTATGCTTTACAGGGTAAACAGAGTTTCCATATACGGGGACATTGGCACTAATTTCAGAATTTTTTATATTTCATGACTTGGTTCGGTATAGCAGTGAGCCGTCCATATGTTTTTATCCGGTTTATTGTGTTTCAAATGGCCTATATCAGCCCAAATTGACTGAATTTTGGCAATTCCGGCGGAATTCAGTTAAGAATTGGGTGAATTAATAGGACTCAATCCGTAATATTTTATATTGCAATGACTGTTTGCGTTTATGATTGAGATTTTTCATTGGTTTGGAAATGTGTCTTATATTTGTACGAAAAGGTACCAAATTTTGCATTGAGTGAATGAAAAGAGCTAGAATCTTCAAATTTGATATTGAGGTCTCAGTTGGTATCTAGAATTGGGATATTGGGTTTCGGAAGTGTGTACGGTAATTGTTCGAAATTCACAAAATTACACTAAATTGGGTATTGGGCGAAGTAAGATAACTGAAATCCTGAAATTTGATATGAATGACACTGTTGATGTCTGTAGTTAAGATAAAGAGGAGTTTTTTTTTTTTTTAAATATGTACGATAGTTGTTCGACAAGTACTAAGTAGTGCTAAATTTGGTATCGGTTGAAAAGATCGAACTGGAATCCAAATTGATATTGAGGTCTCTGTTGATATCTAAAATCGAGATATGGAGGTGTTTTTGGAAATGTGTACCATAAGTGTACGAAAAATACTAAATAGTACGATATTAGGAATTTTGAAGAATTGTTGGTGTAAAAAGTAAGCCTTTTCCTACTAATATTTTCCGAAAAGTCAAAATAATATATATAACCTTGAAAATCTGGCAGTTGCCTATTTTTATACCCTCCACCATACTATGGAGGGTATATTAACTTTGTCATCCCGTTTGTATCTCCTCGAAATACTAATGTCAGACCCAACAAAGTATATATATTTCTGATCAGCGTAAAATTCTAAGTCGATTTAGCCATGTCCGTCTGTCTGTCTGTTGTAATCACGCTATCTTTGGAACGAATTGAGATAGAAGGCTAAAATTTTGCACACATGCATATTTTTTCAGTAAGCAGGTCAAGTTCGTAAATGGGCCATGTAGGTCCACGTTTTCATATAGCCCCCATATAACGGTACCTTCCGATATTCGGTATTTTGCTGATTTTAGCGACATTATTCACCGGAATTGTTTCAACGTTGGTATTTGAAGTTCGAAATGTATACTACAGCCTATGTCAGAAAATTATCTGTGCAGGTTCACGTCTTCGCATAGCCCCCATACAACGGTACCTCCCGATATTCGGTATTTTGCTGATTTTAGCGTCATTATTCACCGGAATTGTTTCAACTTTGGTATTTGAAGTTCGAAATGGATACTACAGCCTATGACTGAAAATTACAGGTCCACGTCTTCACATAGCCCCCATACAACAGTACCTCCCGATATTCGGTATTTTGATGTTTTTAGCGACATTATTTAACGGAATTGTTTCAAATTACGTATTTAGAGTTCGTAATGGAAACTACAGTCTGTGACAGAAAATTGTCTTTGGAGGTACAGGTCTTCGTATAGGGCCCATATATCAGTACCTCACTATATTCGGTAGGTACAATACCCACTGAAATTTTTTGAGATGTCGTATTTGACGTTCGTACATTATTATTCACCGTTTATTCCAAGTTTCAAATTTGAATAGGGTAATGGCTTATGACAAACAAGGCCTATGTAGGTCCACGTCGTATAGACCCCAATATAACGGCTATATTCGGTATTTTTAAAATTTTAACAGAATTTTTTAAGGACTTTATTTTTTGAAAATTTCCAAATTCGTTCCAAATGGTGGAGGGTATTCAAAGTTCGACCCGGCCGAACTTACTGCTTTTTAACTTGTTTAATATTCAAAATATTAAAATTTTACAATATGTTAAGTTTGGTGTAGAAAATTGGAACTTTATTGGAAAGGTGCCAGAAAAAATGACTGACACAAATTTGCAATATAAGTTTCCGTTGATCTAAGGCTTTTTAAACAGATATTATATTTATGGAAATTATGACCTATCTTCGATTTATCATACCCTTTACCATAGTATGGAGGGTATATTGAGTTTGTCATTCTTTTTATAATTCCTCGAAAAGTCCATTCTAAGTCCAGACATTCTTGATCAGAATAAATTTCTAAGTCGATTTAGCCATTTCCGTCAGTAAAACATCACTCCAGCTTCCGATAAGTTAAAAAAATTATTCTTAGATGGGTTTCGGAATTTCGGCCCGGTTAAACTTCATTGACTATGCATAGATTGAAGGAAATAATAGAAAAAAATTGATTCTATTGGCTGCCTCGGCTGACTCGCAGTAGCTGATTTTGTATATTTCGATTGTGTGTATTCCACCAAAGGCTTCACGAATAGTGTCCTTGAGAGCATCAATTGCCTCTTGCTTATTTCCGATGAAAAATTGACCCAAATTTGCCTCGGGACAAAAATTCGGATCAAAGAATGACTCGTTTTGGAAGCATTGGCTTTTCAATATAGGCGTGCGGGTTTTCTGTTCCGCAAATGCGACAATTTTGCTTGTTTACATGCAGCCTTGACGGTGCTTCTCTTCTTCCAAAATACGTACGCAATTTTCGCACAATTCTTCAATAT